GTGTGTGCGTGTATTTGTTTGTATGCGTGTGTGTGTGTGCGTGTGCGTGTGTGTGCCAACTATTATTGAAATATCAGTTGCTTGTAGGGTTCAGGGGATCTCGTAGTCGAGCAGTCTCGATTAGAGTTTTCTTACTTGTTTTTGTTAAGTATATATGCTCCTCCATATCCCTAGTAATATCAAGTATACCCGTTGACAAATCTAAGTGAACGATTGCATACTATTTTTAATTCTCTAGGCTCAGTAGGTTCAGCAGGATATGAAACGTAAATGATAATAGTTTATATCGTAATCAAATAATAACCTGCGTCATGCGTCACTATCTTATCTGATAGATAATAATAATAAAAAATAATAATCATTGCTCATAAAGGAGGTAAGACGTAATGAATTAATTAATACAGTCAATGAGATCGAATAAAAACATTATCAATTTAATGAATGGAATTGGCTGACTAATAGATAAACCTCAAATTCGCTTCTCCCATTCGATTACAGCACCAAACAGCATCAGCAACAACAGCCGCAACGGCTTTACATCTGTCATCGCATGCGTTAAATAGTCATAATTTAATCAACAATCATTCGCCAAAATCGCCCAATCAAACACAGCAGCAGCAGCAGCAGCAGACGACGACAATACAACAACAACAACATCAACATCAACAGCAGCAGCAGCAGCAGCATAGCATATTGTCAACGTTTGCGCCTGCAACGGCAACATCAGCGCCAGCAACACATGTCCAGGCCGAACAGGCGGCAGTAGCAGCAGCATCTGTAACGGCAGCAGCCGTTGCCGCTGTCACCCAGCAGCAACAGCAGCAACATATGCAGATGCTAGCCAACTGCGCTTCCAGCAATAATCTAATGTCCTCCTCGCTGACGCTACAAGCGCCGGTTGGCGTATTGCCGCCAAAAAGCTTAGTCCTAAGCAGCAGCAGCAACAGCGCGACCAGCAACAGCACCAACTTGCCGCCAACAGTTGCCGGCAGTGGGAGCGCCAGCAGCAACAGCATTAACAACAACGTCGCCAACAGCAACTGTAGCACCGGCAACAGCACGACAGGCATGTCCACGTCGCTGCACAGCTTCGATATAAACGGCAGCGTCGGCGCCGGCACCATGGACAAGTGGGCAAGTGGATCCACGACTGCAATGAATCATGCATCGCTATCGCCTACGGGCGCACCGCAGCAACATCACCTACGCAAATGCGAGGTCAAACTGAATGCAATGCCGTAAGTTGAGCTAATGATTTATGCATTATTATCATTGGTAATGGAAAATTCGAAATTGAATTGGGAAAATACATATACATATATATATAATCAATTATTAATATATGTATGTATGTATATCTTTAATTCGGATTTACTTTTTCAACTCTCTGGTATCCCGTTGAAGTCAGTTTTAGTATATTATCACTCTCAATCCTCATTTCTGCTTTTTTCCCTTAGCTGGTTTCATGGCAGCATAACGCGCGATGAAGCGGAGCACCTGCTGCAGCCACGCGAGGATGGGCTATTCCTAGTCCGTGAATCGACCAATTTTCCCGGCGATTACACACTGTGCGTTTGCTTTCAGGGCAAGGTTGAGCATTATCGTGTCAAGTATCTGGAAAATAAGTTAACTATCGACGACGAGGAATACTTTGAGAACTTGGGACAACTGGTTGCGGTAAGTCGATACATCGAAGCCAGCTTCAAGGCTTCAAGGCGTTATTTATCCATGTCTCTTTTACCATGGATAGCATTATGAGGCCGATGCGGATGGGCTGTGCACGCAGCTGATTAAGTGCTTACCCAAACTGGGCAAGCAAGAGTTTTGCATTAACTCCAAAGAGTTTGTGGATAAGGGCTGGGTCATACCTGAATCGGAGCTCCAGCTGCGCGAAAGCATTGGCAAAGGCGAGTTCGGCGATGTCCTTTTAGGAATATTGCGCAACGAGAAAGTCGCTGTCAAGATGCTCAAAGATGAGGGCGCTGTGCAAAAGTTTCTCGCCGAGGCGTCGGTAATGACGTAAGTTATATATTTATTTGGATATCTATGAATAAAATGCGAAAGCAACACAATTGTATTTTTTTCATTAACAGAACGCTGGAGCACGAGAATTTAGTCAAGTTTATTGGCCTTGTTTTTACGAGCAAGCATCTGTACTTGGTGACAGAATACATGAGCAAAGGATCGCTGGTTGATTATTTGCGTTCTCGTGGACGACAGCACATAACCAAAAAGGATCAAATCAATTTCGCATTGTAAGCCTCCTATCTATATGTATATGCATATTATCGATTATTTAATACGATTTATTTCATGTTCATTCGCATTTACAGCGATACGGCCTCTGGCATGGAGTATCTAGAAGCCAAAAAGGTTGTTCATCGAGATTTGGCTGCACGTAATGTTCTTATCTCGGAGGACTGTGTGGCCAAAGTATCCGACTTTGGTCTCGCACGCGAGGAGTGCTATAATCTTGACGTTGGCAAACTGCCCATCAAATGGACAGCGCCTGAGGCACTGAAAAATGGCGTACGTTTCCTTAAAGCTAAGAAAATCTAGTTTAACTCCTCAAAGAGTATCAGATTCAACTAAAAGAATAATCTTAATAATCTTATATTGGCTTACGTTATGTAACAACTTTACTGTTTAAGTAGCTTTCACGTATTTTAAATATATATATTTTTATTAATTTGTATATGCCCTTAGCGCTTCTCCAATAAATCGGATATGTGGAGTTTTGGTATACTACTGTGGGAAATTTATTCCTTTGGCCGTGTGCCTTATCCCCGAATTGTAAGAATCTATAACCAATATCTATTGCTTATAACACTCACGAGTTTTTACTTATAGCCATTGGCGGATGTGGTAAAGCATGTAGAAGTTGGCTACAAAATGGAAGCACCCGAAGGTTGTCCAACGGAGATATACGAGATGATGCGCCAGGCTTGGGACTTGAATCCAGTGAAAAGGCCAACATTTGCGGAGCTGAAAGTGAAGTTGCAGCAGCTAAACAATGCAACAGCGTGAGAGGCGTGTGAAATCCAAAACATCAATACTTAAAGTTATAAATTAAAAGGGAATCATTTCAACAACTAATCGAAATTTTTGTTTGAAACAAACCTTAGTTGTGGGCTGGAAAATAAGATTGAGACACCGCCAATGCATAACGAAAGCTTCATTTATACACTGACACTGAACGCAACAATTTTTCGTACCAATCTATATATATATATGTAATTATCTAGACGTATACAACTAACTTAAAACAATTTATTTACATATATAATTTATAAGATAAGTTTTTTTGTAAGCTTAAGCGAATAAACCCAACACAATCAAGCAATGTTAGTAAGTTGCTATCCAGCTAAACGTATAAACACATATGCAGTGTTGTGTAGCTTACTATTACTATTACAAAAATTTATAAATTCGTGTTAACCGTAGGTTTGCTATTTATACAGTTTGGCCCCTCCAAGTCCCTCAACTTTTTGTATTACCTTCACTCTCTCTATCTTATATATATAAATCTATGTTTTATGTTATAGAATACACATACATATGATTATTAGAATTGTTTATACTTTTTGTTTTTAATTCAACTAATTTGTAAATCAAAATTTTAGGTTGAGTTTTGCATAATTTCTGTTAAGCATTTTATATTTGTAGCACAAAAGCGAAACAAAAAGAAATGTAATAAGTTGCTGAATTACTAAATCAACTACCACTAAATTAGCAGTATAATTATTGCAATAAAAATGCTCCTGCGAATTAGTTAAATTTAGTTACATTTACATTTGTATATCTAATCAAAAAAAAGGAATAAGCGAATATTATACAACAAAAATTCAAGTAAATTGAAAATGAAATTCGGTAATCAAATCGATGTTCTATCAGCTTGGGCTGTGTGTCCTTAAATCTACAACAACAAATACTTGTGAAATTATGCATTACATTAATAACTCTAAATATAAATTAAAAAAAATACACATCTAAAAGCATTAAACTAACATACTTAGTATATTATGTGGCATGTTTATTGTATAATAATCATAATAATAATAATATAAATTTAAATTATTACGCGCAAGTTTCATCTATGTAAAATCCCCCCAATTGTTCTGTCTATGTGTTTATGGAATCTCTTGAAATTCAATGTGTGTATGCGGATATACCATATATAGATATATGTATAGATAATCAGTAAATCAAAGCCTTACTGATGCATACTAACAACAATATACAATTTACTTAACCCTTTATGTTATCTCTAATGTTTTATACGTTTCTTGTTTCATGAGAAACTTGTACAATTTCGCTTTAATACTTACTTTTATTTTGCACATGCAAGACACGTACACGTCCACTTAAATTTACAATTCATTTAAATTTAAAGCTATTACTTTTTTAAAAGAATATCAAATTATACACAATTTTTGTCAAACAAATTTTAAGTTAGCAAAAAAAGGAAAAGAAAGAAAAGTCAACGTAAGAGTTGTACACAAAAATCGCACGAACGCGTAATTTTGAAAAGGAATGGAGTGACAGATTGAGATGAATATAAAACTTTTAATAAAAGTAAAAAAAAATTATACAAGTTTTTCATTTTTTACGTATTAAAGATTATTATGGCGGATGTCTGTCCGCATGCTTGAACGCTCTCAGAAGATATAAACGCTAGAGAATTTAATTTTTTTTAAATGACCGTATATATAGCGAGGCTGCCGAGTTTACCTTCATACTTTTTATCTATCAAATTTGTTTTTGTAAAATTTAAATTCTGCCAAATTTGATTAATCTGAGTTGGAAAAGACAATAGATTAGCGTGTGATATTCAGTACATGAAATGGTTTGATAACACATTTCCGTTTTACAAACACATCCTACTAAAACTGGATCTGATAATATATCATGCAGTTAGTTCTTAGCTATATAAGAGCATATCGATGCAACGATGAGTTAAGTTTGATTTTAAACGTTTAGCGAATCCCAAAAATGCCAATTCCGATTGTCGCTGCAGTCATATTTTTATCATTATGTGCCACTTCTATCAGTAAGGTAAATCTAAATAATTTAGGATTTTATATGCACGGCGTCTGTAAGAACACCCGCAGACATTTTTCCATCAGCGCCATTTTGATGTTACAATGCTGTCTCTTGCTTCAAACTCTACGGATGAGACCAAATCAAAATTGGATCTGCGTGTCGACCGAGTCTCTCATGGCGAAACTGTTTTAAATGGCATTTGGGAATGGCAATATGATGTAGACCATACTACCATGGTAATGTCAATGGCCTTACTAATTTTAATTAGTTACAAATGAATCTATTTTTGTGACAACTTTTCTTTGCATCAGTTGGAAGCGACAATCTATAGCTCCGATAGTGGATCTGAGAATGAATATAAGAAGCTACCCCATGGCATTCCACCAATGAGTTTCGAAGAGTTTTTGGACCAGCACTACAATGACATTGTATATGCAAATTTTAAAAACTGCTCTAACCTTAAAGCATATAAGAACAAAGTGGAAACGCCCTGGCAAAAAGGAACTTACACTTTTAATCAATGCCGGCCGAAAGGATATGGGATGCCCGAAATTATAGCCGATGGCTTCTATAAAGTATATACCCGACTTAGCGCTGATCCTGAAATCCATATTGTTGTTGTTTTCAAAATCTCAAACACTTTTTATTAATTGAAATCCATCCGCAAATATGGTTTTAATATTTATATCTTCAATTGTATTGCAATAAATATTAAAGAGCACATTTTGGATTTGTACATAAGATTCTTTGAATAGGTAAATTTCGGGAGATCTCTATTGTCTGATGATTATTAATGATTACCTTGCCAGATTCCGATTTACAGTTGAAGTTAACTGCCACAATTCAGAGCTGATCCTGTAAAGCATCTGGGTATACGATTTATGCAGAAATGCCACTTTCTCGAAAAGTGTTGTTACATATTTTGTCCACGATCCCCTATTATATTATTATTATTATTATATTATATGTCCTTAGAAGGTTTACTGTCAGATAACCGGAAATCTGCGGATATTCTCAATATCACCCAAAGTATCTTAAAATATCTATTAGTGTATGCGTTTTTTAATTTGTATGCAAAAATATATTCCTATTTATAGACTTAAAAATATAGCATCGCCCAATCCCCAAGACTAACTCACCAAGAAACAAGTTAGTTTCCATAACAGAAATTTGTTTGCGTATTTACACATTTATTCGTTTGCGATTTTTATTTTACTTTCTCAGTTGCCAAATAACTTAATAAAGACTAACTATCGTTGCAGATTATAACTTTTATTCATGCAGGGATCAATTGCATTACTGAAGGCCTAAATTTAATCGGAATATATCTTAACGATCGAGTTGAGTTCTACTTTTGCAGCCGACGCGTGGCGCGTCTTATGGGTCGGTTTTCCGGTGTAGTGGGCGGTGCAAACCGATTCATCTGCTGGCCAGGCATGCCCGGAGCTGACGTCGGCGTGGCAGGAGCATTAGCGCCGCCACAAAAGCTAAATGGCGCTGAGCCATTCATCGAGGGCGCCGGGCTGCCAAAGCTTATCGATGGGGTTGGATTTCCGGCGCTGCTGCCAAATGTAAACGGTTTATTGGCCGCATTGATACCGGTGCTCTGCGGCGATTTGATGCCACCAAAAGCAAACGGCGCATTGGCAGTGCCATTTGATGCGTTGTTGCTGTTAGCCGCGTTGCTAGCGCCGAAGGAGAAGCCGCCAGGTTTAGTCTGCTGCTGGTTCTGTGCAGCGGACACTGCGCTGGCGAAAATATTTTCGCTTTGATTTGTTGCATTGGTGGGCGTGGCACTGCTTCCAAACGTAAAGAGTTTCTGATTGTTGCCAGCAGAAGACGCCGTTGCTGAGGGAGTTGCCGATGCCGCAAAGCTACCAAAACCGTTGCCTGGCGCGGCTTGGCCCGCCGGAGTTGCTGCTGCTGTTCCTAATGTTGTGTTGCCCCCAAAATTAAAACTTGGTTTCACTCCACCGGCTCCGACGGCTAATGGCGATTTAAACAAATTTGTAGACTCGTTTTTTGGAGTCACAGCTGAAAATGAAAAGCCGCCCACTGCTGGTGTCGTCTGCTGTTGTTGCTGTTGTTGCTGTTGTTGCTGCTGTTGCTGCTGTTGCTGCTGCTGCTTCTGTTGCGTGGTCTCCGTGGCACCAAAGGTAAATGCTTTGCTTTCCGTTGAATTGCTTCCTCCGAATAAGGACGTCGACTTGGTCGGCGCACTGAAACTGAAAGCATTTGTAGCTGGTGCACCGCCCACTGGTGCAGCGGTAGCTGATCCACCAAAACTAAAGGCGCTGGGCACCGCAGCTGGTGCTCCAGTTGCTGGTGTTGCTGCCATTTTTGGTCCATCGCCACCAGCGCCAAAGCTAAACATATTGTTGCTGTCGCCTTTATTGTGCAGCGTAAAAGGCGTGGTTTTAGCTGTGGGCTTGCTGTCACCGCCAAATGCAAATATATTCGAATTGTTTGCTGCTGTTGTTGAAGCTGTATTGGTAGTTGAAGTAGTAGCACTAGCAGCAGAAGCAGACGTCGCAGCCGTAGCTGTGCCCCCAAAATTGAATGTTGGCTGTGCTGTTGCTGCTGCTGTTGTTGCTGATGCACTACCGAATACGACAGGAGCTGCAGAAGCGGCTGGAGTTTTGCCGAAACTAAATATTGGTGACGTAGCTGGTGCGGCTGTTGTTGCAGCTGCGGGTGTTGCAGGAGATTTAAAGCCGATGCTAAAGCTGTTGCTATTGCTGCTGCTGCTGCCAAAAGGCGTCGGTTCCTTGGGCTGGGATGAACTGTTCTCCAACGTTAATACTGGCGCAGCTGTTGCTCCTGCTTCACTGTTACTCTTGCTGCTGCCAAATATGAGAGAATTGTTGCTGGTTGCTGCTGTAGTTATAGCTGGAGCTGTGCCAAAGCTGAATACTGGAGCACTTGCTGTTGTTGTTGGCGCAGTTGCTGATGTTGACGCCTTACTTGTTGCCGCATCTGATGCAGGCTTTCCAAAGTTAAACGAAAGGGGTGTTGATGGCGCTGCTGCTGCTTGTGCGCCTAATCCTGCTCCTGCTGCTTGTGCATTATTTGTGCCAGTGCCAAATGTAAATGGTGTTTTCGCTTGATCCGTTGTTGTTGATGTTGCTAGTGTTTCTGTTGGTGCTGGAGTCTGTTTTGCATCTGCTGCCGCCGCTGCTGGCTTGCCAAAGGGAAATATAGGCGAGCCAGTCGATCCGGCTGTGGTTGTAGCTGTCGGCTTCGAATTCATAAACGTTAACATAGGTGTAGATTCTGCTGGTGCAATTCCATTTGCATTTGTTGCTGGCTTCTCTGTTGCTGTCGGCAATGTAAGTCCTAGCACAGCTCCTGTTCCAGTTGTATTTTCGCTCGATTTTCCCGTTGCATTATTCACTGGTAGCACAGAAGATATGGTAATGCTGGTGGTAGTTGGCGCCGGTGTTAATGCAGACATTGTTGTTGCTGATGTTGTAGTCGTCCGTGCTTCTTCAGTTGCTTCAGTTGTTGTTGTAGATACGCGTTGAGCGGGGTCGGTTGGTACGGTAGCAGTCGCCAATATAGTCGATTTCGTGGATGCTGTATTCGTTGTTACATTTGTATTTGTTGCTGAATTTGTATTTATTGTTGTCGGTGCGACAGATGCTTTAGTTGTGGAAGTATCTGCTTCATCAGCTGACGTTTCATCTTGAAAGATTTCACCTCGCAGACTACTCAACATCAAAGCCAATTTCGTTTTCTGTGTACGCTCCAAATGGGAGTTTTTGCTGGTGACAAGTGATTGCTCCTGTTTGGGCCTCACAAACTGTATGCCTGCATATTCGTTGGCATCCACATCGGGACTATCCAAGTCAGCCTGCTGTTGCGTGTATTGTTGTTGTTGGGGTTCTGGTAGTTCTTGCTGCTGCTGCTTCTGTTCCAGTTGTCGTTGTTGTGCATTGAACAATGTCAATTTGGGTTTCTGGTCGTAGTTGGCCTCTACTAAGGGAGCCGACGCCGCACGCTGGGCTGGAGTAGCTGGCAGTGGAGTGATCGGCGTGCTCTGCGTCCTAGTCAAATTCTCTAAATGTAGATCCGTTGTACCCGTCTGACTTCGCTGTATCTTTGCCACCTGTGGACGCGGCGAAGTCTCGGGTGAGCTACTATTGTTGCTGCCGCTGCTGGCATTGTCGTTGAGTGCGGACGTATTGCTCATTGTACGCATGTCATATAGCTTCCGTTTATTGCTATGCAGCTGACTGGAGCTCAATGAGCTTGCGATGTCATTGCTGTAGCTGCAATTGCGGCGCTTGGCCTGCTGCTCCGGTGATTGCTGTGGGGAAATTCTCTCAGGAAAATGATGTGCAGACATATGTAAAGTGTGATGTTGATGCTGGTGTGGCAGCGCTATGGGCGGATGATGCAAACGCCGTGGTACTGTAACAGTCAATTCACGCTGTCGCTTGAAACTCGACTGAGGTTGCAGCATGGATAACTGTTGGTGCTGCTGGTGTATATGATGATCCACATAATCATTTACGCGATTGCAGCTCTTTTTGCTGGTGAAATCGTTGGGTTGTATTTCCTGCAAATAATTTGTGTTAGTTAAGCCAAAACAGTTCCCACCATAGCAGTCACCAATGGTTTGAGGTCGACTTACGCCGCTATTGATGCGCTTGCGTGATATCTCCTTGAGCTCCTCAAGGACGCTGCGCGTGGGTTCGCTTTCGTGTTGCAGCGGAGGTGGATGCATAATAGGGCGATTCTCTCTCGACAACTGCTGGTCGCTTTTTTTCTCCACGCCAACCAGCGAATTCGAGCGCAGCAAGCTGGGCAAGGTGTTGCCACAGTAGAAGCTTCGCTCAGGTGGCGCCATACGTGTTATGGACACTGATGGCAGGTTAGGCTTATGGGAGAGAGGCGATGAAGCTATGTTACAACGGCGTGGCTGCGTAAGTGGATTATAAACATTATTATAGGAGATGCTGCGTTGCAGACCACGGCCGCCAGTGTTTCGATCCCGCTGGTATTCCACAATGCGCGACGCTAATCCGCTGCTGTTCACGTCCGCAAAGGTTCTAAGTAGGAGAGTTATAATTATAATTATTAAGCATTATATGCATTACTTACTTGGGATCCATATGACTAAGATTTAGCCGTTGTCGTGCCGATTTAGATACACTCGACGACGTTCTCGAGGTTGTATGCAGACTCCTGTTTTGCGGTGAATCATTTGTAAAGCTATTGCTTAGACAAATGCTCGAGTTGCTGTGCCCCCTCGATATACAACTCCTTTGCATTTGCTGTGTTATTGACCGCTGTCTCCTAAAAAATGTCATTTAGGCTTAATATGTATATTAATAAATGAGTTAATTTTAATTTATGCATACGCGAACATGCCACCTATCCATGTGGAATCAGCCATGGGTCTTGATAAACGCGGGGAATTGCTTATACTGTAACGATGTTCCATTGTTTTGTCCTTCTGTATATACTATATACGTAAGTCAGGTTTTATTTATATTTAATCTGAGTACCAAACAATTATGTTTGAGAATCAAACTTACAGATGTCGAATGAAACGTTTGTTACATTACTTGGTGAAACAACAAAAAACACGCCAAGCAGGCCTTACGAGTTGCGCCTTTGTATTGGCTATCGATAAGTAGTAGCGTCCGGCTGCGATAATAAAACATGCAACTTTGCCGATTTCGAAATTGCATGGTAACCCTGTCAATTTCCGTCCTCCATCTTTCTGCATTGGGTTTTCACGATGGTGAGTTCGGCAGCTATAGTTTTTTAAATTTTTAAATGGTTTGCGACATGGAAATGACATTTAAGTGATGGATATAGTGTAATAAACTGTCAATAACGTGGTGGGCTATAAATGCAGTTACATTTATGAAGCCAAACATATCGGAATCTGCCTGTGCATGCAGCAAACAAACGAGAGATCCATAACCTCGAAAGTGAACGTTTTCAAATCATATGAGCATACCAAAATACACAAATTGATGTTGAAATACATACATTTATACCAATTGTACGTAATATGTTTGTTTATTTTTGTAACAGCCGCCTAAGAAGGACGCGAAGTCGTCGGCCAAGCAGCCGCAAAAGACACAAAAGAAGAAGGAGGGCTCCGGTGGCGGCAAGGCCAAGAAGAAGAAGTGGTCCAAAGGCAAAGTCAGGGATAAGCTGAACAATCAAGTTCTGTTCGATAAGGCCACCTACGAGAAATTATACAAGGAGGTGCCCGCTTATAAACTGATCACACCCTCGGTTGTGTCTGAGCGATTGAAGATCCGTGGCTCTTTGGCCAAGCGCGCTCTGATTGAGCTGCGCGAAAAGGGTAAGGGAACATAATCTGATTGATGCATATGTAGAGCATAATTACAAAACCAACTATTTCTAGGTCTCATTAAGCAAGTCGTGCAGCATCATTCCCAGGTCATCTACACACGTGCCACCAAGGGTGATGAGGCGTAAATTTAGTTTTACCACACATCTACAGTGCCGCACGCTATTTTACAATATAACGATTGATTGTATGGAAGTACCAAGGCTCTGCTACATGTAGTAGAATGTTGAATAAACTTGCTTATTCTTTTTGATGTAAGAAAACTGAGTGTAACATTTTATTGCATAGCATTTTGGAATACCAGAGGGAATGGGAATGTTTTAGTTTTCTTAAGGATAAATAGGTGCTGTTTTGCTTATAGGCTTTATTATTTACTTTGAAAATAAATATTTTTGTTAGCAGACTGCAACGTGTGCTCGATAGTTTTGTGTGAATGCCAATATCGTTAGTTGTGCAACCCTGTTGACAGAATGAATGTTTACTGGGTAACCAGACGTCTATTTTGATGACAACACAGCAGATTGGTGCGGTTTGTGTTTTCGACTGATTTAAAAAAAAAATGAATTAAATTGCAAGTCCTCAGTAAAATAATAAAATTCAAAAACAAAAGGTGTACTGCTAACACCTGTGCAAATAAACGGCTGTCTGAGCGGCACGTTTACGTAGCAGGAAACGTTGCGTGCGGCTATTTACACAAAAAAGTTGCCGCCGACGCTGCAGAGAAATTCTTAAAGCGTTTAGCAGCAGCAGGTGGAGTTGGCCAAGGCTTAGTCCAGCGATAATACCACGTATGCAAACAATTACAAACAAAATTAATGTGTGTATGTGTGTGAGTGTGCGTGTTAGTCGCGTGTGTGATAACAGTCAAGATTTTCTTTTATTGTTTAATATGTCTGTCTCTTAGCACATTCTACAATTTGACCGCTAAAATGATACCGTTAACGCACAAGGATCGCAGCAACTTTGGCTACCGAGTCAAGGAGAAGCTGAACAGCTGGAAACGCCTGATCTTCGCTGATCCCAATTCTCGTAACTTGTTTCTCTTTTTGATGCTAAATCTTAGCTTTGCCTTCGTGGAACTCTTCTATGGCATCTTGACAAACAGCTTGGGTTAGCATAGCGCACATTTCTATATTGTATTAATCATATGGTTCAGAGCTATATTTATGTTTATATATCAGGTTTGATCTCGGATTCGTTCCACATGTTCTTCGACTGCACGGGGCTACTGGCTGGTCTGGCGGCCTCGGTCATTACGAAATGGAAGGCGAATGATAAGTTCTCGTATGGATATGTGCGTGCCGAGGTACTAGCCGGCTTTGTGAACAGCTTGTTTTTGCTCTTCATTGCCTTCTTCATACTTTCCGAGGGCGTCGAACGTCTCATAGAGCCGCCCGAAGTGAAGCATGAGCGGCTGTTTGTTGTGTCTGTGCTAGGTCTTCTCGTCAATCTCGTGGGTATATACGCGTTCAATCATGGCGGTCATGGCCACTCCCACGGTGGCGGCGGCGGAGGACATGGACACTCTCACGGCGGAGGGGGCGGAGGACATGGACACTCTCATGGACACAGCCATGACGCTCATTCTAATCACAATCATCAGGCCATCTCAATGGACAATGGTAAGAAGTTGCAACAGTCGTAGTATGCCAACAGCTGCATCTCTCTCTTCTGCTATGGCTTCCAGGTCACGGACACTCACATGATCACAGCATGAGCCATGGACACTCGCATGATCTTGGCACTGGAAGCAATTCACAAATCATGCGCGGCGTGTTTTTGCATATATTGGCCGACACGCTCGGCTCGGTGGGCGTCATCATTTCCGCAGTTCTCATGCAAATGTTTGGCTGGATGATAGCGGATCCAATTTGCTCCATATTCATAGCGCTGCTTATTGGGCTCAGCGTGCTCAGCTTAATCAAGGAATCTATACTCATACTGATGCAACGCCAGCCAACCGCACTGGATCGTTCGCTGCTGCAGTGCTACCAGAAGGTGACTGGCTTGGCTGGAGTCTATTCGGTGCAGGAGCCGCACTTCTGGACGCTTTGCTCAGATGTCTATGTGGGCGCCATCAAGCTGGAGGTATCGAAGAATGTGGATCCCACGTACGTGGTAACGCATACGCGCATGATCTTTGAGGCGGTGGGCGTAAAACAGATCTACATTCAGCTCGACTATGTGTGATCCAACTTCCTCCTGTCCATGTATATATATATATATGTTATTATATATATATAATCATTATGTATATTGAGCAGCGCGTGTGTTGTGTGTGCGTATTTGGAGTACGATGATAAGTATGTGCTTTTATTTACCCAAATTCTAGTTTACTAGGCTCAATGCGCTATAAAATAACAAAAACAAGCTGTAAAATGTAAATCTAATTAATTGCGAAATTTTTGTTAATTTATTTTCTACATAAACTTGTTAAAATGATTCATTCCAACATTATCAAAGCGAAGCAAAGTGAACGTAGTGCAACAATTCAGCAAATTATGTCTATATAGGAACCTAGTATAATTTTAATATATAAGTCCCAAACTTGTGCATTCTAAATAGTACGTGGAGTTTATTTAGTCTCCTTTTTTATGATTCGACAGAACAAACCTACACCATATACATATTTACGAAAAATTTGACTGAATAATACACATCTACCAAAATTCCATTGTGTAAATGGAATCGCAAATCAAAATTGTAATAAGCCACAGTTTTTGCTGCATCAAAATTACGAACGAAATAAAATAGAGTTTGTTAATATCGTTTTTATACACAAAGAATGTTTTTTTTTCACCTTTCTCTCAGGAATTCCTGAGCTTGGACTTTCCAGCTAAAAAATTATCTATTCCTATGCTAGGCCATTAGGAATTCCGAATTCCTGTTTACGAAGGTGGCAACTGATTCCTGTATAACTTAAAACTCCTAGCTAAAAAATATAAAGATTTCGTTTGCGTTTCTAATGGCAGTGCCAAATTAACATGTACATACATATGTATGTATGTATGTATGTATGTACGTGCGTATATTCATTTTTCATCCCACTAACAGTCAGCAAAATCTGATGTGGTTTACCTGTAAATATGTACGTGCCTCACATGTCTGCGTAGTCATCGTAGGCAGTCCGCACTGTATACAAACGTACACGCGATCTAACAGGTATACACGTGCGTCTTTGAGAATGTGCGAAAATGTGAATGTATGCGATAAGCAACTAGACTATAGACGCTAGAAAACATAGCACACAAAAGCAAATGTCAAAAAGCTTTCTTGACGTATGACGTACACATACATGAGTGCATTGCACAGCTCAGCAAAGTGGTATGCAGATGATTGAGGTTATATTGAATTTCTCAAAGCCCTCAAAATATAGGACAATTTACTTACGGTGGTGCATCAGGACATTGCGCATGACAAAAATCGCACAGAGACAAACATTCGTATGTATCACTGTCAAAGGTCAATAACATTTGGGTTGCCCAGACCTTGTCCGAGTCAATGCCACACGAAGCGTGTGTTCATAAATAACAGTAGACGCAGCTGCAATGCCGTCTCGCCTGTGCTACCTGAACCCACTAGGGGAAGGAAATGTGTTATCATTTGCGAATTCAGTTTGTGTATATGGATTCCGTTTTATATATTTGTTTTAATACATACAAATTTTCTTACTTTTTCTGGTTATTGTTTTTTTTTTTTTGTCATTCCGTGTTGAAAACATATACGAACCTATACAAAAATTGCTTTGTTGCTATAAAAATATTAAATTACGCTGTATTCAATTACAATAGTTATAGGATAATTTAGTTATTTTTAGCTACTGTGTGAGTGAACTAGTTCTTCTTCTTGGAGGTTCTCCTTCCGATATAACTACAAATTTTGCTCATTCCATAAAATAACATTTACATTCATTGATTCTAAATAATAAAACGGAATTAACTCGACAAGTTGTTTGAATTTTTCTATTGATAAACATAAATTTCATCGAACTGTTGCCAAAAATAAAAAAAACCGTAACTAAAGAAATCCGTTTGAAATGGGTATGTATGCGTGAGTATGTGCCCGCTCTCTGCCTTTGTGTTTTTTTTAGTTTGTATATATTCGTTCAGTGGTGGCTGTTGCTTTTGTCCTGCCTGCATTGGGCGTTGCTCGTTCTTCAGCATTGCCAGCCATTGAATCGAAAAATACAGAACGGAGCGTGCAGCTTAGACCTTCTCCTCCTCAAGGCCATGCTTGAAGAACATGAAAACGGGAACGCTTTGGCCATCAATGTCCCGGTATTCACACATGGCTACCATGCCGTCGACATCCATGGATTCTCCCGTGAAAAACTGGAGCTCCTTAAAACGGCCCAGAATGTCTTTCATGGCTTTGTTCATGTTGGTTTTAAAAATTTCGACCTGGTCGGGGGCGGTTTCCTGCAGTTTTGCCAGAACTTTCTTCATGTATTCTTTCAGGTAGACAGTGTACGACTTTTTATCTCCGAAGGCAAAAGATTCTGCCAGACGGTGATTCAGAACAATATCGACTCCTCGCTCGACATTTACTTCAGTGCCTTCATCCGCTTCTTCGGCCGAGGGATTGGCGCCTGAAAGCTGAATATCTCCTTCTGTGCGGCTAACTAATTTTCCATAGACTTCGTAGATAACCTCATCAACCAGTTTCATTTTGTAGGTGTCGGCGAACATCTCATCACCGGTAATGATATCCTTGTAGATTCTCATCTTGGCGTTGGTGTTTTAAAATATGAGTTTAATTTTCAGGCAAAATTGCAATTAACAACTGCACGGAACCGGGGCCACAACTGCCACGCGCTGAATCAGTAAAAAGAAGGAACGAGACGAAAAAAAATGGCGCATGCTGTTAACTTAGCATTTTGCTCAACTGTTAACAGCAGCGAACAATAGTGTTACTATCGAAACAATTTTGTGGTAAAATTACTTAATTTTCATACTGCAAATAAGATAACTTCTAATGTATGATGACTCAATCTTTGCTAGTGAAATGCACTTTTATACCTGTTTATTTAAATATTTAAGAAATAAATACTAGCTAACAGTGTCAAATAAGTAAATAGGAATGTACATTGATAGTTTTGGACTATCGTTAAAATTTGGCGAAGACAGCGAAGACTAGCTTCCGATTTTATTTTAATGCCCGTTCAATTAAAATTTTTGAATACTTGAAAAATTAAGAAGTAAACCTAAGCATCCTAATGTAATGTACATATATAGTTTGTAAAAGTAGTCTTGTATTGTGCATTCAATTCCCCGTATAAATGTTGTTATTTCGTACTTAGTTGCAGTATATTGATATCATGCGTTCATTTAAATTGTAGTATTTTTTTTTTTTTTTGGAGTATTAATTGCAGTTTGGAGACCGTTTAATAATGCCACTAACCAGACAAAACATTTACGAGACAGATTTTTCGGCGTGAAAAAATTGTTCTAGATGTCTAGTCTATGTGTTGTCTGGTTAGTGGTAATGCGAAGCTTATTATGAATTCAAATCAGAAGGAATATACATATGTACAAAATTTAATGATATTCTCGGTACTAAAATGAGAAGAAAATATGTTAATAATTCTAAAATAAAACCACATATGTATGTACATACATGATCCACAATCAAGAACCTAGCACTGCTAGCACGCAAGCATCTATCATCTTAAGATTTTGACGATAGTCAGAACATTTACTCACATTTCTAAATTAATTTACAGTACCATGTTACCTAATATTTATTTAATATCTAGATAAATATGTTTTCGCCAACGAAAGTATATTCAGCTTACAACATACCTAAGGAACAACTCATTCTATATTTCTCCTTTTGAAAATTTATTGCTGGATTTTATTAGACTATTTTCAGAGATTAGATTATTGGTAATATTCCAAAATTTAATATTGATTTACATTACTTCGGCCTCCATTTGGCAACCATTCAAAGCCGCTAAAATATTTCTGGCCGTTATGCGGGACATCTCCTTGCGGGTTTCAATATCAGCGCTGCCAATATGCGGCAATATAACAATATTATCTAGTTTCAAGAGTGGATCATCAAGTGGCAGTGGCTCAGGTGTGGTGACATCCAAACCTGCAGCAAGTATCCGCTTCGAATGAAGAGCATCATAAAGAGCATTTTGATCCACAACTCCGCCTCGTGCCGTATTGATAAAAATGCAATTGGGTTTCATTTTCTCAAATGCAGAAGCATTAAATACTTCCTTGGTATCAGGGGTTAGAGAGCAGCAAACCACAATAAAATCCGATAAGCAGAGCATCTCGTCAAAGTCCACACGCCGAGCATTAACCTTAGCTGCCTCTGCTGGCTTAGCCGTGCGAGTCGTATAGGTTATCTGAGCTGGTTTGAAAGGAACAATGCGAGCAGCAATCTCCTGACCTATGCGTCCAAATCCATATAAACCAACACGAGAGTTCTTTAATCCTTGACCACACATCCACATGGGCGCCCACGATTTCCAGCCACCATTGTAAACCTGCTTGCTGGCCTCGAACAAACGTCTATTAGTGGCTAGCAGTAATGCGACCGTTAGCTCGGCTGTGGCGTCGGTAAGAACTTCGGGCGTGTAGCCAACGCGAATGCCACGTTTTTTGCACTCCTCTACATCAATGTGCTCGAAACCCACTGAAATGGTGGCCACGCATTTTAGCTGCGTTCCAGCCGCATCGAGCACAGCGGCATCGATTTTATCTGTTAGAGCACAGTATAGAGCATCCTTGCCCTTAACTTGACGAAGCAATTCATCTCGCGGCACTGGCAAAGTCTGTGACCATGTTGTCACATTACAACTGCTCAAAAACATCAGATAACGAGATTAAAAACAATTTACGGCCACCAACAACAAACAACCTCTTACGCAGCAATTCCAATCCACTGTCATCCACGTCCGGACGAGTCACATAAACTCTTGGCTGGGAACTCATTGATGCTTTTTGTAACAGTTGAGAAAGGCCTTTGGCCTGTTGAATGTGTCGTAGCTTTATTTTATGCATGTTAACTTCAGCTCGGGCTCAAGAATTATGTTATCTAGTTTTTCTTTATTATGCGTATTTGGGTTGGCGATTGTTGGTCACACTGTTTTTCTAAACAGTTTCTTTTGAGCTTAACAGATGATTGTTAGTAACTAGAAGAATCTAAAAAGTTTTCCAGCTGAAATATTTGGTCGTTTTTCTGCAATGGATTGGTACGTTGACAAAGAGTGGAGCGACGTAGCTCGTGGCCTGCAGAAAAAAGTGCTAAGTTTAGAATTCCAAAGGGTTGAGAAACCACTTTTGGTAAGCACTGTCTCATTTACCGTAAAAAAACCGTGTCCTAACTTGGGCTCCAGACCCAGTAAATACTTAGCATCCAATGAGCCACAACAGTACACATTGGAAATGGGCAACGCGGACAGCCCCATTGATTGCTATATAGAAATATTATTGCAACAGTTTGTAATTGGCGAAACCTCAGCTTGCAGCATTACCACCAAAACTGGCGAACGTTTGGAATTCGAGCTGAAGTTAGATAGAATTTTGAGCAATAAGCAAATCGACAAACTGAGCGCAGTGGAAATGTATAATCTGGCATTAAAGTACAAAGAGAAGGGCGTAGCCATGTATAAGGCATATCCAAAGTTTGCCTGCGATTATTTCTCACGTGCAGCTAAATTACTAATCACATACAAACCATTTGATAAGCTGGATAAGCAAAAAAATGGCATCCCTGGCAATGAAATGGAGCTGCTATTCGTGCAGATACAAACAAACTTGGCTGCTTGTATGCTACTAGAGAAACGTTACGAGCACGTTATATACCACACAGAATTTGTGGATACACAGGAGCAACCAAGCGAGAAGAGTATCTATCGGCGCGCATTGGCTTTCTATTACCTTAAGGAGTTTGAAAAGGCGCAAAATTTGATCGAGCGAGTGCCCCAGTACGAAGATAAACGAGAATTTACTAAATTGCGGGACAATATAGCAACAAGCTGGAAAAGCAGCAATGCCAACTATAAACAGCTAGTTCAGCGAATGTTTACATAGACTCGAATGTTACAGAAATAAATCGCACTATGTAGTCATAATAATTATCTTATTTTGTATTTGCTACTTTTCCTTAGACTTTTTTAAAGGTTTTTGATTTAATTTAAGTTTCTTATTTTTGTGCTTCATACCGGCTGGTAATTTGGGCCGCTTTCTCGACGCCGTGTTATCCAACTTAAAAAGTTCTGTAAAGTGATATAAATACATATGATCAATATTATTGCATCAGGACTATATCAACACTCACCTTCGTCTGGTTCTTCGCCAACTTCATCTTTGTAATATTGAGCATCATCGTCCGCATCACTTGCATTTTCTTCAGTTTCTTTGCGTCTCACTTCCCTGTTTTGCTCTTTCTTCAATTTCAAATTACGCTCGCGATTCTCGTTCTGTTGCTTCTTGCGCAACTCTTTCAATTTGCGTTTCTTTTCAATTAATTTACGTAATGCTTCCTTCTCCTCTTCAGTTTTGACAACATGATCGTGATAAAGCACTTCACCGGTTAGTAGACCCTCCTCGATCTTCATAAGCTGCATTGTTAGGCGAGGTCCAATTTCGTGCAGTTTTACAGAGCTTTTGTGGTTTTCGAAGTTCCCTTTGCCTTTCACTGTTTGGGGCAACACCACATGTGATTGCTCATCGTCGTCGGCATCTGCTTCCGAGGTATATCCATCCCTAAAAGGTTTTAGTAGTAGATGAGATGGCTTCAATATTAAAAATTATTGGTCTTACTTCATTATAAAATCGACAACTTCCTCACATTTGTTGAGATTTGGCACATTACCACTGACAATTTTCTGTACAGCTCGCTTTAGACCCACTGGAACCACCTGCACCGCATAATGGCGCATGTCCACAAGCTTTGTTTCCGAATTATAAGAGAACAGAAGGCAGCGGCGTATAGTATCAATGTTAACTTGAGCCAAATTGATTGATGGAAACATGTTCTGAAATGTTGAGGCCATCAATTTCAAATGTTTCCCTTCACCGCTGAAGTTGTTCATGATCACAAGCGGTGGATGCTTGAAATAATCAACGTCAAACATTTGCTTCTTACTGCTAGAGATGACGTCACGTGCAAGCGTAAACTGATGCACCTGTTGAGCACGAGAGGTATTTATATAGACAATTCATGTTCATGGTAAAAGCGAATCTATTCAAAATACCTTGAACGTTAGAGACGGGCCACGCGGTAAGCGAAGCACTTTAAAGGACAACTGTGTAGATGCTTTGTTGAAAACTGCCATGTGCGAGACGTGAAAGAAGCTGCTTAGACTAACAAAATCTTTGATGCGATTTATTTTTTTTTCACGCAAATTGGATGCAGTAAATGGCTCCATTATTCGACGAAAGTCAATTGTTAAATCTGCGATATACGGACAAGACAGACCGCGGTGTATGACGAAAGAATGAGGGGCCTCAACAATTTCACTTGGTTCACTGGCTTTGAACGCTGCAGTACGCGTTTTCGGATGTACTTTCTTTTTACCACCTCCCATTTTTTTTCTTATAAAAATATGCTTAAACAAAAATCAAAGCCACAACCGCACGTGTTGCTAAAACATTCAGCTGATTGTGTCGATACATCGATAAATGTATTCTAGAATTAGAAGGTGACCAAATACTTATATATAATCAATCAAATATATCGATATATTTGTTTTTAAATACATATTGCATTTCATTTATTTTAATAATATTGGTTGCTACAATTCGTAAATAAATTAATCGATGTATACACATATAAATAATGTATGCGATTATAGTTCACTCATCAAATAATTAACAAGAATAATGCACTGCACCACTAACCAGTTAGTGACTGCACATAGAATATCGGATTCTCATTCGCAAGTAACGCACTTTACAACCATTTTTTTGAAACTGAAACCTTTGGCGCAAAAACTACACTTTAAAATCAACAGTTGATATACAAGCGTAAACTTGATTTATTTCAATTAAAAATATTTACCAACATAGCTGTTTGTGTATTTCAAGTTTCATTACTGTTTATTTTATCAGCTAACTATTAACGAATTCCAGTGGTCAATTTAAAATTGAATGTTTAAAGTTCTGCATTTATGTTCTTTAATGTTATAACTAATCATAATATTTTAGATTTAAGTTTCACTTTTATTTCATGCGTAAAAAATGAATTACATTAACCAATAAAAAAGGGTTTGTAACAACGAAAGCAACTCCAATGCAGAGAAATCGGTTGACGTATGTAAGGGAAATTTGAATAATAAATAGACAATAATGAATAAGAGCCAGGTCAAAAGGGTTAAGTATGCATAATTTTGCTGGAAAAACAATACAACTAATAGAACTTACATAGCAATGTTGTAGTTGTTTAATTTTCTTTTTTTGAAAATTACAACTATATATTTATGTTGTGAAAATTAATAATATTAATATATTTAATATTAGCATTTATGTATATTTATATAAATTATAGTTACAGCTACAGCTTAAACTGAATTTGGAGTGTTTTAGTGTTTCCCTTTATGCTTTTGTAACTTTTTTCATCAGACCTCGAAGTTATCGATGCTTTATGCGATATATATTAAAACTTCAGTTTAAACTGCTGTTAACTACAGCCGGATGTTGATGTTGCGATTGTTTTGCTTTTGTTGTTGGTATATTTTTTATGCATATATGACAAACTGCTTGTGGCTGTGGTTCAAAAAATAACATCTTATGCTGTTATTATAGTTGTAATTGTTGTTGCTCTTGCTCTTGCTATTGCTGTTCTGGCTGTTACAGGCAGCAGTTGCTACTCCTGCCTCAGTGAATCGTTGGGGCGGTCACTGACAGCACTGCTTGCGAACATCGGCTGTAACAGTGGGCTTTACATCGATGGGCTCCACATTTGAGGGACGAATAACATCACCTTCAGGAGGATCTCTAATTTGTTTCTGCGACACAATACGGTAGATCTCTGAAAGCAGAAAATCGGTTAAAATTTTTAGATGTACTTTACAGTAAGTGGAATTTCATACCTGTGAGTATATTTTGGAATGCGGTTTCAACGTTCGTCGAGTCCAAGGCTGATGTTTCTATGAAACTTAAGCCGTTGCGCTCCGCAAATAGTTTTGCTTCATCCGTCGGCACCGAACGCAAGTGTCGCAAATCAGATTTATTGCCAACCAGCATTATTACAATATTCTGATCGGCATGATCGCGCAGCTCCCGCAGCCACCGCTCAACATTCTCGTATGTCAAATGCTTGGCAATATCGTAAACAAGCAGAGCCCCAACAGCGCCACGATAATATGCAGAAGTGATCGCCCGATAGCGCTCCTGACCAGCTGTATCCCAAATTTGCGCCTTAATTGTTTTACCATCCACCTTACAGAGCAAAAAAAGAAACGAGTTAAAGTATCAATGCAAATGATATTGAATTAACAGAGTTAGAGTAATTTTTGGGAAAATATAAAAGAAAATGAAGTTGAATCTAATTAGAAATATTTCACTCTTATTTTTATTTACTATACTAATTCCGGCGTCTGGAGCTTTCTTCGGTAATATACTTGAGTAAAGTATTTTTGAATTCTCTCGATATATTATGTATCAGTCGATTATTAAGTTTCTTTTCTTTAAATATGCATAGATGGAGTGGGTAAGATCGGCATTGGTTGGGATCCTAATCAAGAATGTATATATTGGCTAACATTCGCTTTGCCAGTTCGCGATATAAAGAATCTCCATGCATTTAAAACTTTTCGGTGATTAATGACTATACTTATGATATTACGTATGCATATGAACAACTGCAAATATGGGTATACATGAAATGTAAGATGATATTTGTCTGGAATCTGGATTGCGAACTGAACGATTGTAGAATCAAAGTCCCTTCTCAACACATTTGTAATAATTGTTGTTTTTCAAAGCAAGTCCATCTCCATTACAGACTTACCAGTGACACTTACCTCTATGCTCCGTGTGGCGAATTCCACACCAATTGTTGATTTGGATTCTAAGTTGAATTCATTACGCGTAAAGCGCGACAGCAAATTACTTTTGCCTACACCAGAGTCACCGATCAGGACAACTATAAAAATTGGGATTAAAGACAGCATTAACAGAAAAGAATAATTCAGCTTTGTCTCTGTAGTTGCAAAATTATTGGCTGGTCGAAATTATTGGCATGGGGTCAACGGGTCATGGATATATTCTCGGATTCAGTCATTGACGGTGCGTGCCTGAACGTCAATTAATTTCTTGTTATGCTCTTGTTGGGTTTTTAGTGACGGTGATAAAAAGTAACGCTTGAGGCAACTCCAACCGGACCCCTCAAATTTGTCAAATTTTCTGATTCCTACATTTGCAATTAGCTACACTTTTTACAAACTGATAACATTTTGGGCATTATTTTTACTGTCACATTTGCAAGTTCTGCTATTAGCACTGTGTGTTTTGCTTATCTAGAATATGATAATATAATCTCTGTACTGTCTCACACACACACTCACTCCCTCTTTTCCATCCTTTTTCTATAACTTTCTCTCTGTGTCTCTCTCTTTCGCTGTTCACTTTTTCTCTGATTATCGCTCTTGAAGCTTTTTTAATGTTGTAAATGTGAGTGCTCAGTCTGAAGTTATCATTATTTTTGATTATCTGACAGCTGCTCACGAGTAACGGTGATTCATAGCGTTGTTTCTTTTATTTTTACAGATCTGCTCTAGATCCATTAGGTCAACACATCTATATTAAGTAGATGATATTTAATGTTTTTTCTACTCATTATGTACAAAGAGAAAAATGTATAGCAAACTTTTGATTTCAGTCATGAAGTTACCAAGTCGACTAATCGCTGTGCGTCAGACCACTGACCATACTGGTCAGACTTTAAATATGTATAAAAAGTTATGATAATTTGACGAATTTCATCTCATTTAAGTCACAACATTCCCCGCAAAATGCAACAATTGCTCAAAAAGTCTTTTGAAAGGGGCGACTTCACTTTAGAATAGAAACCCTAGAACTTAGTACTCTCGTATGCAAACGAGACTACGAAGAGAAAATACTGACCCCAAAATACCTAAGCACACATAAAAAAAGCTGACAACAAAGAATAAGTGGGAAGTTGGTGACTAGCTGCCCGCATACAGCAGTAATTTATTGATGAACTACAAAACTTACAATGTAGATGAATGTGCTTTGAGAAAATTGATCTTGTCACAGAGTGCAAGCAGAAAAGAGCAGCTTGAGCAGGGTCCGCTCAGGGTCTACATACTTAGCTTCATATAAACTCTTCGACAACAAAAACATATAGTTTTCATTGAGTTTGTGGGCAAATATTGTGAGAGTGAGTGGCAATAACAGCAAAGCTATCTCATAACAGATGTGAGCGAAATAAGCATACATATGTAAAAGAAATTGCAAAAACTCAAAATAAAAGCTATCGCCAAAAAAAAAAAAAAAAAAAAAAAAAAAAAAAAAAAAAAAAAAAAAAATCCCCAAAAAAAAAAAAAAAAAAAAAAAAAAAAAAAAAAAAAATTTTAAAAGAAGAATAAAGGGGATAACATTAATCGAAACAGATAAAAATATAATATTCCCCAGCCCTCTTCCCATACTACTTTTATATGGTAAGATGAAGTTAAAGCTGCTTCGTTTTCATAAACTGCTTTGTATATTGTACATACACATACATTATATATAAACAACTGTAATATTTAAATATGCTTTATCACTCAGCGCGCCATTTTGATTATTTGATAGCCCTATTTTAGACATACATTTGACTCATATGTTAAACAAATGCTCGAATTTACTCAAACGCATATACTTAAGTTTGACAGCCAAAAATCAAAAACTCATTTTCGGGTCTGCTGCCCACCTAACCAAATCACATCTTATTCGTCTACTCTCGTATAACATGTCCGTTCTCCATTTCTCAGTTTGATTTAATTTCAAAGGCAAAAATGCATTAAAAAAAAACTTTACAAATTGTGATATATTTCTAAACATTTCGTTCACAACTTGAAATGTTGCATAAATGAAGCCGAACGTTTATAACAGCAAAGTACTTTACTGATTCGTGTTTTTACATAATTACATTTAAGTTTTTAGTTTTTAAACCGCAATATTTAATTTTAAAGTTTTGCCATGTTAATTTGTAAAAGCAATTCAGTTCATAATGCCTTTAATCCAATGCTAATTTAAGAACAATCGTAGAGATCCTTATCCTTTCATGCATTTATTTTTTTAACCACTATCGACTTTAAATTTTTTGTTTAAAACTAATGCTTTGCTAAATTGTTTTTTTTTTTATTATTATTATTATCATTCAGATTATTAAACTATTTATATCTGAAACTAAACTATTGACTATTGAGGTATAAGTAATCTAGCAATAAAAGTAAGAAAGGATACTTAAGTCTTAATACTCATCCACATATATGAGATACACTCTGTAATATATACACAAGACACACAAACACAGAAACACACGTACACGCACACACATTCACACACTTAACTCCACATCGTTAACTAAGGATTAGGCTAAAGATGAACGAAATATAGCACTTAAATATACATAATGTAAAAGTGAAGGCAAGGAGTTAATCGTAAAAAAGTGTAGCAATTAGTTAAAGTGTTAGTAATTTTATTAAATAAAATTATATATAAAGTGAAAAACACATAACGAAGAAAGAGAAACATGTATGTCTAAGCATCAAGAATATTATAACAATAAAACGAAATCGAAACTCAAATATAGTTATATTAGTATAAGTTTGCGTCATTGTCTCATGCGGAATGAAATGTTGTGTAAAGAAAACGATATTTTCATGTTTTCCAAAAATAACTGAAAAAGAAGCAAAAATAAAAAACAAATACTATTTTACACACACAAACGAATTGTATAATATTAAAGAAATGCAGCAAAACGTATATAAATGTATATGTAGTTAAATTAAGCAGCATTATATTAACCGAAAACCAAATGAAAATTATTGAAATCAGCTAAACAAGAAAAATTGTGACTGAGAAGGAATAAAACTATCTACGTCGTCTACTCAATTGTGCTTAAATCTACTTAGTATCTTTTGTTCGTGGCAAGGAGTTGTAAATTTTCCGCAAATGCAACATAACATAGAAATACATATGTATTACCATTTGTTACGCTCATGTCTATGCATTGGTATTGACCCGACTTAGCAGAGAATCTTTGCTAGAGCAAATGATAACCTTTGATAATAAATAAATTATGCAGAATACTTGTATTAAATGTACGAAATTATCTCCAACTAATGTTGCGCCGTCGTTGCTATGCGGGCAAAAGTCATAAAAATTGAAGTATAAATACTCTTAAGAACAGAAGATATCAACTTACACATACATACACACACATTTATGGCAACCCGGCATATATGATACAACCATATATATCTAATAGTATAACGAATAAAAAGCGATTTCAATAAAAGTAAAAAATTAAAAAAATAAAAAATATTTAATTTTAATTCTTAGGTTGGGCTAAAAAGGTTTTTTTTACAAATTTTTATATTGGCAGATTTTCACTCTCTATGATATCAAATAATGATTTTCGTCCACGAACATAAAGAGTTTATGATAAACAAGTAAGAACGTTGCAGTCGGGCGTTACCGACTGCGGAATACCCATTCACACCCTATTAGTAATTTAGTAGCCAAGTTTTGCTCTAATACTGTAAACTATTCAGTTTTTCTCGACTTTCCACGCCCAACTGGGCGTAGACATTTCATTTTTGGCCAGTTCATAGAACAAACTAACGATAACCTAACTGCTTACGCTCTAAAAATGGGAAAATTACAGGGTATTTTTCTATATGACACGCCCTTTAAGAGGCGTAGCAATATCAATATATATAACAATATAACAATATATTTGAAGCTTTTAGCTATTATACTTTAGGAGATATTAATTTTTGCGGTTTGCCACGCCCCCTATTGTCGGACATACATATATCCGCAAAGGCTTTTTCGTCTTGAGAGGTCAGCCCGAGTATTTACCAAATTTGAGGTCTCTATCATCAATAGTGTCTACAATATAACAGAATTTGAAAAATCACTACTTCAGGTCCGATTTGCCACGCTCCGAAAGGGCGTAGACATATAATAATACTCATTCACGAAAGTGAATGTCCATCCGTCTGTCCGTATGAACGCAGTCTATTTCGGTGCTATTGAAGCTAAAGACTTGAAGTTTGGAACATATACTCGTGTATATCTCCGATTTATAAATTGTTAAAATTTTCCGGATCCGCCTACTAGGGGCGTGGCAAATCAGAAAATGCATTTCCGATATGCCATAAATCGTGTTAGTTGAAGACCTAGAAAGCTGAAATTTGGTATGTAGATCCGCGTCGAAATCGGATAAAACTGTATATTCCAAATGCTGAAAAGATGGGTGGAAGAATTATATATCTACGCCTACTAGGGGCGTGGGAAATCGGACCTGAAGATATAGTGATTTTTCAAATTCACCATGCACCATTGATGCTAGATTCCAAGTCCAACGAGCTATGATGGATTTATTTCCTCCCAAAGGAGGCGTGGAAAACCACAAAAGTTTACATATATATATAGTTTAAGAGCTAGCAGCTTCAAATTTGGATAGTTAGGTTACTAGTAATCTCCTCGATGTCCCAAAAATAATTGTTACTCCTCTTTAGTGGCGTGGCATATCGAAAAATAGCCTTTAATTTTCACATTTTTTTAGCGTAAGAATTCAAATTGAATTTAAGTTACCGTTAGCTTGTTCTATTAGCTGGCCAAAATTGAAGTGTCAACGTCCAGTAGGGGCGTGGCAAGTCGAGAAAACCTTAATTTTCTACAGTATTAGAGCAAAACTTAACTACTAAATTGCTAATGGGGTGTGAATGAGTATTCCGCAGTCGGTAACGCTCGACTGCAACGTTCTTACTTGTTTTTTTATTTATATCATTAGGCTTTATAAAATCATAACATTGGCTTACGTTTTAGCTTAAAAACTCAAGGAGATAGCTCGGGATCTTTGGTGGTCGATGCGGATCTGCATTCCAAATTCCAGCTTTCTAGCTCTTTAACTAATACGGGCGGATCGGGAAAATTTTGACACTATAAATCT